AGTAACCGAGACTGAAAAATGAGGGTAAACACTCGGTTATCCACCAATAAACACCGGGTGAAATCAATTGTTCTCTCCAATAAAAGATCAATTGATCCGTGCCCTTCGAAAAGGAAAAAAACCGGTGGAATACGACAAACGGCACGCACATCATCTCGGTAAAAACGGGAGGCTCGTCATGACGACGACGACGTAGACGAGCGTTAAAATTAAATCTAGCATCTGAGAATCGTAGATGAGACTACGTCTTTGAACCATCACCGAAGACGAAGTCGCGTCCTCTGGTTCAGTCTCAAGAGCAAATCCAGCTAGTGCGGTTTATCTTCTCTTTTTTTTTCCAATTTCCTTGCTCATTATTTTTCACTCGTTAATTAATCCCCTGTTACGTGCCACCGCGAACTTATTCACTGGAGGAATTATTTCGGGAAAAGTTCACCGACTGCTCACCACCGTTTATTTGCACCCACGAGGTAATCCTCATCTTCCGATTACATAGACGAATAGAAAAATATGAGTGAAGTGGTGAAGAATCATCAATTCAATTAATAAAAAATTTTTTATTTGTTTATTGATTTATTTGGTCAATAGAGAAGTGCAACGCGATATTTACTGCGAGACTTCAACAGATGTTGAATGATGACGCCCATTTATCCGGGGAACTATCGGTTTTAGGAGGAAACATCAGAAGACGTTTTTTATCGAAAATTTAATCGGCTACAAAAAAGTCTTCTGAAGTTTCCGCGCTGAATGGACGGTTTTCGAGATAAGTGGCGATTACGGAAAGTGTTGAATTTGATTTTTGAGCGTTTCGCCAATAATTCAGTTTTTCCTGCAAATCAATGAATGAGCGTTCATTTTAAAAATAATTAGGAGTTAAATAAATGAAAGTTACTTCATTGTTTATAGTGATTGCTCATGTAATTCTCGTGCAATTGACGTGTGCAGTAGATTACGTATGAGTCATAAACAGATGCAACTGATAATCGCGATATTTGATTAGGACTGGATTTTTAATTGATATAAAAAATTGAGATCGATGGATTCTCCATAATTATTTTCTCCGGATTGTGTTCATTGATTATTCCGTATTACGTGATTCTGAATGGTGTGCGTAATCACTGGCTAATTTTATAAAAAAAATTTTGTGGCGCCACTCGCGACGTTCTACCTCTCCCCCGTATTTTCCCCCGATTTTATCCCACGAAAATTAGGGACCAGCGTCGAATGAAGAAAATTGGACACGCGCTCTCGGCTTTCCCAACCAAATCGCGACATCCCGAGAGGAACAGACTATTTCGCAACGACTCACGCGCATGACGACAACTCGCGCGTCACATTTGTTGTTATTAAATATAAAGTAATCACGAGATTAATTGTCTTGTTGATTTTTCATCGATACCTATTATCCGAGATAATCATAATTGATAATTGGATAATTGCACCTGAGAAAAGCGCGACGTGAACGCGAAGAGACCGCAATTAACATTCCCTCGATTCAGACAATCGATTTCGATTTCGATTTCGATCAATACCTCTAGATCTATCAGAGATAGCGGAATTTTTGTCATTACCTTTTTTGCAGAGCACTTTTTACTCTAGAAATGAAGTGATGAGAAAAATTTCGCTATCTCCATTAGATCCGGAGATATTCGAGGAGGAGTGATAGCTCGACTTGACGTCGCGTTTTTCCTGCAAAAATTTGGATTTTAAAAATAAATGAGATAATTAATTATGATTTCCAGGGAAATTGGTAGTAATTAGATATTGAGGAATATTCAATTTCCAATTAATGGACCGAAGAACTAAATCTAATTAAAGATTGATTTAAATATGGAATAATTATAGATAATTTTTACCGATTGAATGAAAATTTCGCGGATGAAGTCGCGGATTTAATTTTGTGGTACATAAGTGGAGATTTTATCGGTCAAATGTATTTCTAGGTCTGTTCTCACTCGTTGCACGTGGAGAACAAGATCATAGAGGCTTAGCTCATGACTCAGAACACGGGAAAAAACCAAAGTAGGTATAATTAACCCAATTAATGAATTAATCAGAAGTTTTCCGCACTGAGACACCTCGGGAAATGAATCCCTCGAGGACCGGGAATCCCCTGATTCTCTGATTCCCTGATTCCCCAATTCTCCGATTCCTCGATTCCCCGATTCCCTGAATGTCCAATTAATCTCTCAGAAAAAAAATTCACAACCCAAGACTTCTCATCAGATTTTGTCCCTCCGAAAAATCCAATATTAAAAAAAAAATTATTTGTTTTTTACACGGGAGAGGGAAGGGGAATGGATAGTTTATTTATTCTATATTAATTTCCTGTAGTAGAATAGAAAGGGGAAATTCTAGCGTCGGATGTCTCGAGAATTTATCGGCAGTAATTTGATGATTAATTATAAAAAATGAGAAGTGTTTTTCTCTCGGTACTTCTGAGTTCGACATACCCTTGCCAGAAATGACAATCACATGAGGGAAAAAGAATTAACTCGCATGTAGTTGGTGTGTTGTCCCGTTGTAGCCTTGATCCCTCGCCAAAATACTTGGACAGAAGGGGAAATCTACCCAGTGGCCGTCAACCATGGACTCAATTTCAATCTTGCATCATCAACTGCGCATCATGAATGACCGGAATTCCTTT